TCCCCAACCGAACCACGTCTACAGGAATATCAGGTGTGAAAACAACCTTAGTTTCTGCTCTGGCCTGGGAACACTTTGGGGTCCCTGAGGAGAAGGATATCCAAGTTTCACTCCTAGACCTGTTGCCTACACGACCCTACTAGGGGTGTAACGGTACGCTAAAATCACATTTCGGTTCGGTTCATTTTCGGTACAAAAAAGGCCAAAATAAAGACTTACAAAATGTTTATTTTGAAAATATGCCAAGTAAACAATACGTTTGTATAAAAATAAGTAAAAGCGACCCATTTGGATGATATTTTAAATAAACGGCACTCTTTACAATAAATAAACTATACTAACAATAATAAAAATCTTAATAAATACAATAACGGTCAGGAGCAGAACAATAAGCAGCAACAGACTGTTTACAATTTAACTAATCAAGTTTTAAGTTTTTGGCCAAAAAGACCAACTTGTCCACATTTTCTGCCAAAATGACAGATCTAATTGCAATGACATTATCTCCAGCAATGGAGAAAATCCTCTAACAACAGTAGCAGGAATAGAGAGGTAGCGCCTTGCTAATTTTGCAGTGTGGCTGTATTTGGCCTCATTACTCACAACCTCTTGGACCTGCTCCCACAGGTGGGACAGGTCCCTGGAAAAGTTCAGAGTTCAGTCATCACAGACTTCTTAACTGGAGGTGATTTCTGATTTCCGTGAAGAGGAAGAAGACTCGCAGCTGTTATCTCTGTCCCAGACTGGAAATAAAACACAAAGAGGTAAAAAAAAAAAAAAAAAAAAAAAAAAGTTAATAAGATTATAATAATTTAAAAAAACAGTTAATTAGATAATAATAATAATAAAATAACAATACCTCTTCTTGAACAGTCATCATTTGTTATGAGGTGGTTGAATCTCTCGTTCATCATCATCAGGGCAGGGCTTTATCTGGTCCAGGGCTTGTTGACAATATCAGTTTTAGCTTTTTCATAAAGTGCTGCTACAACTTTTTGGCTGAAGTGTTGACGTGATGGGATGTTGTAGCGGGGCTCAATAACTTTAAAGTCGGCGCATCAACAACAGAAACATAGATCCAGAGCTTTAAAAACTCCTACAGCTTGTGTTATTGCTTTGGACCAATCTGAATTACATGATAAAGTTTGTTTAAATGCTGCTGTTATCGGTCTTTGCAACAAGCTGCTTGGAGAGATGTTTACGTTCGGATGATGTTGTTTCAAGCGCGTTAACAAGTTAGACGTGTTGTCTGCTGCAGATCCAATCTCTGTGAAACAACGTCGACACAGCTTTGGATTTGCGCTAGTCTTTTAACAAGAAAGCCATAATATTCCCCAACAGGAGACCACAACAAGAAGCTAATGTTGCGCGTCCTGCAAGATAATAGCGCCGCGCTGAAACACACTAACGCCCCTTTTCCATTAGTACCGGTACGGGCCGGTACAGCACGGCTCTACTCTACTCGGTACGGTACAGGTTGTGTTTCCATTATGCTTTCAGTACCGGTTCCAGTGGGCGGGGTTCAAATTGACGTCACCACCTCTCACCAGCTG